TGAGCTGGGCTGAGCTGAGCTGAGCTGAGCTGAGCTGAGCTGAGCTGAGCTGAGCTGAGCTGAGTGAGCTGGGTTGAGCTGGACTGAGCTGGGCTGAGCTGAGCTAAGTGAGTTTGGTTGAGTCAGGTTGAGCTGGGCTGGGCTGATCTGGTTGAGCTGGGCTGAGCTGGGCTGAGCTGAGCTGACCTGGGCTGAGCAGTGATGAAATTGACTGAGCTAAACTGAGTGAGCTGGGCTGAGCTGAGCTAGGATGAGATTGACTGAATTTAGTTGAGCTGAGCTAGGCTAGGTGAGCTGAGCTAGGCTGAGTTGAGTGAGCTGAGTTGGGCTAAACAAGCTGAGCTTAGCTAAGCTGGGCTGACCTGGGATGAAGTGGAATGAAATTAACTGAGTTGAGCTGAGCTGGTTAGCAGTTGGTGAATGAGAGCAGGTGGGTTCAGTGTGGAAGGCCCGGAGAGCTCAGTTCCCCACCCAGGCTGCCCCCTGTGTTTCCAAGGGCACATGAGGGCCATGCAATCTCAGGTGTACCTGTGTCCCCTCTTCTTCCACCAGTGCCCCTGAAGGCAATTGAAAATATATAAGAGATGCCTTGTGTGCCCAGCCTGTCTAGGAGGGACATCTCAGAAGGGCTGATTTGGTTGGGCCTCTGGTCTCGAGAACTTCGTAGCCACGGGGTGGACCTCTGCCTGTTGGGGGGCTGGGATAGTGTTTGTAGAGTGGGGTAGTTCAACCTGGACCCTTACCAGGGAAGTTTAAATGGGACCCACAGAAGACTCAGGCCCCCTCTCCTCCCCAGTGTGCCCTCCAGGGCAGAAAAGCTGGCCCTCGGGGCAGGCTCAGCTTCAAGGCTAGACACCTCTGTGCTCACCTATGTCCCCCCTCTGGGCTCACCTTTCATGACCCCCAAACTCTGGGAGAGAGCATGGCCACGCCCACTGCACAGAGGAGCTGAGGCTCCAAAGGTGCCCACAGACTCAGCTGGCCCATGGAGAGCCATGTGTATGACTGTGACTCCACCCGGATGTGGCCTGTGTGAAAGAGCGTGTTCCAGTCCACGTGCTGGAGCTCTGAGCAGTGTGTTTAGAAACAACACAGCTGGACTTGAGGCCAGTCCCAACCCCAGGTTCCTGGCCTACGAGCTGAGTGACCTTGGGGCAGTCACTCACCCTCTCTGTGCCTGTTTCCCCAAAGTAGAGAAGAGGTGAGCATTGTTCCATCCTCGTGGAGCTGTCTCAGGGTCTCACAACATGTCCTGTGTTGCAGTGTCCCCGACCAGCCCCAGCCTCTTCCCACTGAGCCTCAAGAGCACTGACTCAGCCGACCACGTGGTCATCGGCTGCCTGGTCCACGGCTTCTTCCCACTGGGGCCCATGAATGTGACCTGGAGCCACAGCGGGGAGGGCACTTCCATCAGGAACTTCCTCCCAATGAAAACCTCCGAGGGCCTGTATACCATGACCAGCCAGCTGACCCTGCCAGCCAACCAGTGCCCAGAAGGCGCCACCCAGAAGTGCCAAGTGCAGCACAACTCCAGCCCCAGCCAGACCAAGGACGTGCCCTGCAGAGGTCAGAGGTCGGGCCAGGGTGGGGTGGGAGCCATCAGGTTTCCAGGGTGGAACCACGTGCCCCACTGGGGCTCCCCTCAGACAGGAGGGAGCACAGGCTGAGCCCCAGTGGGTGGTTAGGAGAGGGTGGGGGCTGGGGCCGGAGGGAAGGAAGGGGATGTGCAGGCCCCGGTATTCTGACAGCTCTGCCTCCCTCTCAGATAAGAAGTGTCCCGACTGTACAGCCTCATGCTGCCAGCCCAGCCTGACGCTGCACCGGCCGGCCCTCGAGGACCTGCTCCTAGGCTCCAATGCCAACCTCACGTGCACGCTGAGCGGCCTGAAAGACCCCCAGGGTGCCACCTTCACCTGGAAGCCCACAGGTGGAAATCACGCCATCCAGGTGACCCCTCAGAGTGACTCCTATGGCTGCTACAGCGTGTCCAGTGTCCTGCCAGGCTGTGCAGAGCTGTGGAACAGTGGGGAGAAGTTCACATGCACCGCCAGCCACCCCGAGGTCAAGAGCCCACTAACCACCTCCATCGCCAAAAACTCAGGTGGGCCCGTACCCCGCTCGAGAGGCACCCCCAGCACTCTGCGGTGGGCGAGGCACATGGCTAAGCCTGCTTCCCCCAACCCCTGGGGGCCCCACCCACATTTTAGAGATGGAAACTGGGCACAAGGTGCCCAGTGGGCAGAGGGGTTCTCTCCTCCCTGCTCAGACACCTGACCTGGCTCTTCTACCCCCAGGAAGCCTCGTCCCACCCCAGGTCCACCTGCTGCCGCCACCGTCAGAGGAACTGGCCCTCAACGAGCTGGTGACCCTGACATGCGTGGTGCGGGGCTTCAGCCCCAAGGACGTGCTGGTGCGATGGCTGCATGGAAACCAGGAGCTGCCCAAAGAGAAGTTCCTGACATGGGAGCCCCTGCCGGAAGCCAACCAGGGCAGCACCAGGTTCGCCGTGACCAGCGTGCTGCGCGTGGGCTCTGAGGACTGGAAGAATGGGGATAATTTCTCCTGCATGGTGGGCCACGAGGCCCTGCCCCTGAGCTTCACTCAGAAGACCATCNACCCTGCCTTTGAATAAACTCCATGCTCGCCCAAAGCAGCTACCACCCCTCCAGCGCCTGTCTTGATCCTCTCGGCCTGGCACCTCGACATGTGCTTGTCTGTGTGTGCAAGTGTGAGTGTGAGTGTGTGATGCACGGTGGTGGAGGCCAAGCTGGAGTGAAACCTGAGGCTGGCAGAGTTGTGGGAGGCAGGCAGCTCGGTAGGCCCTGAGAGCAGTGGACGTCCCGGGAAGTTCCCCGCTTGTCTCAGAAGCCGCCTCTAGGTGTAGCAGGAGGGAAAGAGGCAGGAGGGAGCAGGGCAGCCAGGGAAGGGTCTGACGCCAGCGTGCAGGGACCAGTGCATGAGAGGAACAGCCAGGGAAGGAGGGCTGGATTCCAGGGCCCCTCACACCCTTAGTGGGCACCACACAGAGATGCAGGCTGGCCCCGCAGACTCACAGAGAAAGGGGACCACCCGCCTGATGTGCACATGGGTGCACACACTTTATCCACATGCTCACACTCACATGGTGCACACACAAGTCCTCCGCATGCTCACACTCACATGGTGCACACACATGTTTTCTCCATGTGCTCACATTCACATGGGTGCACATACAAGTCCTCCACGTGCTCACACTCACATGGGTGCACACACACACACACAGGTCTGAGCCTTGCAGGTGCAAGAAGTTCACAGCCCAGTCCCAGCTCCGAGAAGGCAAGGGGAGTCCCCTTCCAAGGCCCCAGCGGGTTTTCCCCAGGCCCAGTCCACTGTCCCAGGTCCCTCTGCCCCAGGCCTCCCAGCTGGGCACAGCTCAGGAAGCAATCCTACAGACCCCTCCAAGGCAGCCCCTGCTCCCTACCCAGTCCCCGCACTCAAGCCTCCCATTCTTTCCTGAGCCCAAGTATGGCCCAAATCATAGGGTGGGGCAGGAGTGGGGATGGGCCAGAGAGACAGCTCCCAACAGGACCCCTCTCAGCTTCTGTGTGGGGTGTCTGGCAGAGAAGGAGGAGGCCGGGGGAAACAGAAAGGAAAGGGCAGCCCCATGATCGCCTGGGACACCTGGCACCAGGGCCCCACAAGGGGGCAGCGAGGCCTCTGCTCTTGTCTTAGACACCTGCTGGGCTTCCCCAGGACCTGGCCTTCTGGTTGCCTTCCACTGCTCCCGGGGACAAGGAGTGGTGGGGACTCCTAACCACCCTGCCCACTGCTCCCTTCTCCAAGGTCCAGTCACCAAAGGGCAGTAGGGGTAACAAGGTGATAACTGGGAAAATGCTGCCATAGTGCAGGTGCTCCAGCCACCAGGGGCCCAGGACCTGCCCAAGGAGGAGCTTCCTAAGGAGGCCAGGAAGAGGGGAGAAATAAGTAGATGAAGGGCTGAAACTCATCAGATGGACAGCAGGCAGATAAGTGGATGGACCATAGGACAAATGATGGATGAAAGGATGGATGGATGGATGGATGGATGGATGGATGGATGGATGGATGGATGAGTGGATGTATGGATGGATGGATGGAAGATGGGTGGATGGATGAATAATTGGATGTGTCAGCATATGGCAAGCATGTGCAAATCCCATTTAACATGGAGGTCTATGCCCATGACCCTGAAGGCAGCAGGGATGCCTGGTGGCCTTCACTGGCCCTCCTTCATGCTCCCCATAGCTCATCAGCTACATTCCCTGGAAGGAAAACAGAGGGCCCTGGTCATGTCCATCCAGCCCTTAGCATATTAAACCACAAACCCTGATCTATGTCTCAAACTGGAGCAGCTCAAGGTTGGGCTTGTCCATTCCTCTCTGGCCCCATTCAGGGCCCAGG